ACTTCTAGTATCCACAAAGTTCTGTAGTGAGGAACTTGACAGCGTAAGTGAAGAACTGTCTCCTCCTCAGGACTCGTACCTCCTCATTTCATTTTACAATCCTTTGGTTTTGTATTAGGAGAGACAACGAATAACTGTTGCCAATTCACTTCCTCAACGACGCTTAGGATTTCATAGACCTCTGTGAAATCTTCCCCCGTCTCCCTTTGTCGTAGCATCGTAGGAGGTGCAGTCTATTCAGCTGCACTGAAGGGAAGCTGTTCCCATACCCCTGATTGTCTCCGACACTCCTCACCACATCTTTCCAGTTCTGCCATATCATATTTGAATAGAGGGAGCAAGAACTGGACACGGTATTCATTACGCCAGTGACTGTATATTTACAGGCAAGTAACTTTTCACTTCTTCCTCTGTATATTTCTAACACTTAATTTGTTTTCTTCACGACTACTGCTGACCCTTAAGTGGACATTTTCATGGAGCTATTTACTATAAGCCTAATATTTCACTCCCAAATAAAATCCACTAATGGCTTTCAAGCACTGTGACACCAGAGCAACAAATACCATGTAAGGATCTTAATTTTTCTGTGGGAGCATCTTCTGTGCTTCTTGGCACTGTAATCTGTGGCTCAGGTAGATGTTTGTTTTCAGACAAGTCGTTACTCCAAGAATTTCTCCTGTTCCAAATAGAAATCCTGATAGCTTGCTCTCTCCCTCCTGTCTTTTCCAGCATTAATGCTATTGTATTTGTTTAATGGGGTTAATATGCTGCTAGTATAATAATGATCATGTACGGATGTAATTATTATGTATGATTAATTCCACAGCTGCTGAAAAGCTTGGAGGACTTTTCTTAGGCGAGGGAATATCTTTACAATAGTCCTTCTCAAATTGCATTACACACAGACATAAGCCCCGAAAGAAACGCAGAAGGGGAAAGAACGAAGGCTGGATTAGAGGAGAGCGAGCTGCACCCAGCAGAGCAGCTGATGAAGGTCAACCATCATGTGGGCAGAGACCAGCTCTTTGTTGTGTGTTTATGCACCGACTAGCACAAATGATTCCTGGCCCATCACTGCAATCCCAAGGTACTACTACCATGCACATAGTATGTAACTGGTTATACATTTTTAAAGACACGTCTGTCAGTGGTTTAGGCTTCTCTTGTTACTTTTTTTATAATAACCATCCTTTAAACAAACACACTGGGTTTTGTTCTAAGAAGACACAATACCACGGACCAAAATATGAACCCCTACAAAATGCTAGCACAGGTTAATGATTTTTACAAGAACCAAAGAGAATGAAGTGCACAGCACACAAGCCATTAGCACTAAAATACCGAGGGTGTCCACATCTGACAAAACTGTAGATGCTTTTCTGCGTGAGGCTTTTTGGCACACACTGATAATTTACGGTCCAATGCTGCAGCCATACTCTTGAGTGCTCTTAAGTGCCCTGAGTGATAATGGATCTATTTGCATGATCAGGGATTGTAGACTCAGGCCTATAACTCAGCATGTTCCCCAGAACAATACCTGGACACTTATCCTTGACCAAACTATCCTTAAATCCCCCATTTGTGTGACCTGAAGAGAAGACACTGCCTGCAAGATTTAAGTCTCTCTAAGCTGTCCAGTTGTTTTCTAACCCAGTTATTACCCATGTAAGCACCCTTGACTTTGATATTTACCTGACTCAGTTTAAAGGTTTAAGTGAAGGAGATGATGTGCCCAGGAGAAACTGAGACGTGCACAATCTTCCCTTCCTTCTCCGGAAAACCATCCGGTTTAGCCTCTGCAGTCTTTAACACCTAAAATCACCAATGCCCCAGTCCAGTTCCTTCTTCTGCACACAGTGAAATCCCTGTTACGCAAGGATGCCAAGGAGGGGACACGCACGCTGCAGGAGATGCTGAGCTGACCTGTGCAGGACCGCAGGTGGCAGAGAAGAGGGTCGAAGTGGGCAAAAAGCACAGCTGGAGAATTTGCTGTCGTGCAAGACTCTCCTGTCATTCCCCACAGCTGCAGCTGTCAGCAGCAGACAGTACTGAAGCCACTGGGCTGCGGCAGGACCACATATGGGGACTTACAGGCTCTGTGCGTGTAGGGCTGGGAATGGAGATGGATTCTGCCCATTGACTTCTCTCAGTCTTACCATAAATGGCTGCCTTGAATAGCAGTTCGGGTTTGGTATTTAAGTGTCCCAAAGCGCTATTATATCTGAAATCCCCATGATACTTTAAAGAAATAAATCACTCCCTCTGAGCCTCCAACAATAGAACTGCAGATAGGATGTATTTGAGAAAACACAAGGCCTATTTGCTCACCCTCCAGAAAGGGAGATAGCAGTTTTAGTTTTCACCTAGTGAAGGATTTATCGAGCATCTCATTCAGCCACCAGCATGTTTCAGGCAGTAACGATCAAACCTCACAGCACTCCTCTGCAGTGCCTGCAGGAGTTATCAGTGAAATGCTACTCCAGCATCTGAGACAAGTGCTGGTTTTCTTCCCTTTTTTAAACTTATTTCAATTTCTGCTTCACTGGGTTTTCCTTTTCTCACTACACTACTGGGAACTTTATAGGCGCAGAAGAACAATGCAGAATGCAGAAGCAAAATGGGACTTGGAATGAAAGCAGCAGATTGTGATAGGTTCAGAATTTGCCTGTAATCATTTATGAATTTCCGTGTTTCACCTAAAAACTGATCTAACACTGACAGATACTGGTCTGACAATGCTGAAGTTGATCTGGATACAGAAAGGATGCAAACGAACAATTCAAGATAGCCTTAACAATAAAGATGGAAGAACTGCTGTGAAACAACGTCAGGACTATTAGTTTGGGTGGCTGACAGAAGACTTTGGCCAGCTTATCAAACCGATTAAACTAGGTTTATCTGAAACCGTACAAAAACAGAAATGGAAAATTCAGGCAGAATTTGAAATGAAAGGTCCCTCAAGGAACACCTCCTTTTCCCATATCCTGCTCCTGTTTTCATCTCATCAACAAACACAAAACGCTTATCAGGTTTAAAGATGCTGCCAACCAAGCTACTGCACTCCTGTGTGGCCACCAGCTAAAAAGCTGAATGGGACGTCTAATCAAGGCAGCTAAACGTTCCCATGCTGAAAGCTAACCTGTGCACACACGGCTAACCTGCCAAACCCCCTCCCACCAGATGCCCAGGACAGACACAACTCCCCAGCACTCACAGACAATCACTTACAGGGTTGCTCAGCTTACTGCAACACACGGAGCTACACAACATCCACCCAGACAGACATTTGTTAGGAGAATACCAAAAAATGTCAGTAATTGGTTCATAGTATTGCAGGTAGTAAGCTGGAAGGCAATTATTTGAGTTCCCTCCAGTGAAGACATTTCATTCATGGGAGAAGAGGGGGGCATTACAGATGCCTGACCCAGCCAGATACAAGACAATTTGTGCAGGGCCTGATTTAAGAACAGAAGTGCTGCATAATCCACATCTTCAGGCAGCTAGGAGACAAAACTCCAATACCGCAGGTAGATACATGAAAACATGCCAGAAAAAAATGCAGCAAATTAACTTTTAAGTAGTCCCGATATTGGGACTACTTTAATTTAATTTCTGAGAATAAAACTTCAAGATGTATCTACACGGCAGCATACATAAACACAGGCAAGCTTGCTTGCTGGAGCATGTGGTAAGACTCTTGTCTTAGTCTACCTTTGCTTTAAATTACTAAAAAGGTCCTAACTTGAAACCTTTCAATAAAACATGTACATGCAAATAAGAACATGTCTTTAAGTAACTCGCATGGAGACCTGTGTTGCCACAGCTAATATAAGACTAGCTAGGGCTACACAGACTGGGGTCATGTGTTTAACTGTTGTATAGACATGCCCTTAATTCTTGAGGGACTAACTGACAACACAGATTATTTCTGTAATATACTGAAGTACAGTTTAGTGCAAACTTAAGTTTTCACCTCCACATACTGAAATATTCCATAAATATTTTGCTAGCTCTGGGCCAAAGAGCACAGCATCTTGCAAAAGCAATCTTAGCATTTTGCAAGCTGGACATACTATGTCAAATCCAGTGAATGCAAGGAACTGTCAAAGGTTATTACCTACGACAGGCAGGCAATCACATCACAAAAAGCAAACACACCAACACACAAAAAAATGTTATTTCGCATTGCCATTAGCTGCTGGTTTCAGACGGGAGGCAAAAGGACAATACGGGATGAATACAGCACTGCCGTTCAGCCCCCGAATGAGGCACAGCAGCAGCAAAGCAGGTAACGCCATACGCTATGGCTGCATGACCCCATCTATATCATGGACTTCAGCACCATCCATCCACAATCCTTCTCAAGGACTAACTACAGCTCAAGCACTAACTAAACCTACTGTAAGGCAATTTCCATTTTTCCTTTAGGTACTGGAGGAACGGAACTCAACTGTTGCGATCCAGAACTTTCAAATCTTTCTGCAGAAGATTTTCTTGTGTGGCAGCGGAGAATTCACAGCAGCAGGATCCCCAAAGGGCCCAAAGCACCAGGTCACCTAGCACTCAGCAGCGCAGCAAGGGGACTGAACAAAGCATAGCCCTGGGAAACTCTTAATGGCACTAGGCAGGGCCTCTGTAGGTCACATGGTAACATATAATCACTTGAAAAGCACTTCTTTCTTTTTATGGATCTACTGAGAATTACTCTGTGCTTTGGGTATAATGGCACTTTTGCCATAATCAGATGTTGTAAAGGTATATGCAATAAAAGAGACATTCAGGTATTACTGTCCCATCAGCTGTGTCTTCATATGATTGCCTCCAATTACACTGTAAAATTTACCAGCACACGTATTTGAAATAACGCTTTTAATTTTCAATCAGATACTCTGCAAGGAAACCCAGCTCAGAAATGACATAATTGAATATCTTGAGGAAGAAAATAAAAAGCGAATTTTAACTCAATGGTGTTATTTAATAGCGGTGAAAGTACTTACCAGGTGGCCTATTAATTGCGAGGTTTCGGAAATGACTGCCTTTGATCATCTCCACTGACAGCCGCCCCGTAGTGGCATTGTACGACAATCCCACGAGCAGCTCTGGCACCCCTCCATGCGACAGGGACTGTGTTGAAGAAGCGCTATCACTGTGAGAGATTCCTGACAGACTAAG